AGGGATGACAGCAGCAGCAGTGAATCACCTCTGAATAAAGGCTTCCTCCTGAAGGGCCAACCCCCCTCATTTTGGGGTGTTTCTCAGCTTTTTGAAGCAAAGGAACACAGACATCAGGGGAAAAAAAGCTGCCTTTGATGAACAACTTAATATAAGAGAAAAGTTTTAAACAGCAACAGGATAAATAACAGATTTTAAAAGTCAACAGCAACAGAGTACCTTAAATTTAGTTATTGTTTATTTAAAATATTTTTATTCCCCCCCCCTTTCTCCTTAAAAACAGTATTTAAAAGCTAAAATCACTGGGTATACACGTATTAAAAAAGAATTAAACAACTATTATATAAACATGGTAAATGGCATTAACATTGAAACACATTTGAAACAACAGAGCACTACAATCTATTTAAAGCCCCTCTCAGATCCCCAGTCAGTAAAGAAAAGCCTGCTTGAAGAGGAAGGTATTTGCCTGTTCCAGAGTGGATAACAAAAAATTGGGGCCAGCCTGGCCTTCTGTGCGAGGGAGTTCCAGAGTCTGGGAGCAGCGACAGAGAAGGCCCTCTCCTGTGTCCCCACCAAGTGCATCTGTGAGGGTGGTTGCAATGAGAGAAAGGCCTCCCCTGATGATCTTAATGCTCGGGGAGGCTCACAGAGGTCTTTTGGATAGCTTGGACCCAAGTCAGATTCACTGTACAAAGCTCTAGATTGAGTTCTAAGGAAAACTCATAAAACAATGGTCACTTAGGCCTCTCTGTCCCTTAAAGAGACTGATGCTGAATTTGGAAACCACAAATTTACCTTACATTCTCAGCATTGCCTGTTTGAGTAAGGCACAAAATAGAGATTTTAAGGTTTTGGAAGCTGACAGCTTGAAAAGACAAAGCACAACATCCGTGGAAAATAGCAGCAATAAGAAAGTTGTCAAAATCATACTCTCCACCTTTAATTTCTGTGGGCGAAGGAACACATAGACCTTTGAAATATTGGTTCATCCCAAAGGAGTGGGGACCAAGGAAGAGCAGGGCTGTAGGTAGAGATTTGAATCAGAAAGAGTGGGAGACCTGAAAAAGCCAGAGCTGCTGTTGTCACTTGGCTAAAGCTAAGGCTCTTGCCAGCTTGGTCTAGGTATAATTCCTATATGTTTGTGTTGGAGGGGGCAAATCCACATAGTGAATTAATAAATTACATACAATTCATTTTATATTTTATTTTAGGGTTCCAAAGATTTTACATGTGGAGCTGATTCCTCTGTGTATTGGACGCCCAACCCGGCTGAGAAAATATTTTGAATTTTTATTTCAGTTTTAATCCAAAGGGACACTTGAATTTTGCAGTTCTACAAGCAACATCGGTATTGGTGCTGTTGTCTAGAACTTGACTGTCCAAATTACAGCATTTTGTTGTTATAACTGCTCATGTCTGTTATTTAACTGTGAGTAATAAGAGACTCGTCTTGTGAAATGGGGTTTGCAAGGTTCATCAATAGATATTTAAGTAAACAATTAGTCCCATAAAACTTTAAAGTGTTACATTCACTTTCTGCCCTTCTGATGTGTTTTTTTTAGTTAGTGGTGCCCCGTATAGCGACGTTAATCCGTTCCAGGATTAACGTTGCTATCCGGATTCGTCGCTATCTGGATTCGTCGCTATGTGGGGGGGAACCCCATAGGAACGCATTAAACTCTGTTTAATGCGTTCCTATTAGGGAAAAGCTCACCGGTAAGCGAAGATTCCCCCATCCAGCCACCATTTTCGCTGCCCGGTAAGCGAGGGCAGGGCGCGAAAATGCTGCGGGTGGCCATTTTGCTGATCCGGCTGCCATTTTGGAACCACCGATCAGCTGTTTTCTAAACATCGCAATGCAAAGATCGGTAAGCAAAACGCTTACCGATCATCGCAATGCGATGTTTAGCCTATCTAAACATCGCAGTGCGATCGCATTAGCGATCGCAAAAAAGTGTCGCTATGCGGATTCGTCGTCAAACAGTGCGCTCTTTAAGCGAGGCAACATTGTATTATTATTTTATGTACTGTATTTCTCCGTTTATACAACCCCCCAATGTATAAGATGACCCCCTAATTTTGACCCTTGCCAGAGGCGGAGGAGTAGTTAATGAGCAACTGCTCCTCCACCTCCGTCTCCTGCTGCTGCTGCCTCCACCACCCAATCACCTCAATTTACTGACCTCAGAAGGATGGAAGGCTGAGTAAACCTTGAGCCAGCTACCTGGGATTGAAACCAGGTCGTGAGCACAGTTTTGGGTGCAGTACAGCAGTTTAACCACTGAACCAGAAGTGTATGTTTCTACAGGCCTGTCTCCCGGTTTGGGTAGGCTCATACCGGAGGAGGCAGTATCGTAGAGATCCTAGCTGTAAGCTGTTTAGGGCTTTGTGGGACAAAACCTACAGTCTGAACTGAGCTCAGAAACAACTGGAAGCCAGTGGAGTTCATCCGCGACTAGTGAAACATGGTCTCGAAGCACATATGAGAAACAGTTTGGCCACTGCGTTTTGCTGTAGCTACAAGGGCAGCCCAACATATAATACATTACCTGTATAGCATTTTAACCAAGAGGAAATTAAATACAGTAATGGATTACTGTGGCCAAGTGTGAAGGTTCGTTTTCTGGGGCTGTGTGTACTTCCAATAAAGGACGAGACAGTGGTAACAAGTCAAACGGTTCCGTGTTTATTGCTACATCAACATTAACGGGATTAGGGTTCAAAAACAGGTTCAAGGTCTCTTGCAATTTCACACTTGGTTTCAAAGGTGTCCATAAACTGTTAATGAACGGGTTAGTGTTCTCTAGGTTCCAAGGTCCTGTTAAGGGCTTCACAGAACCCGAAACTGGGTTCAATTCTTCTTCCAAAACAATTAAGGGAACGGTTTCTTCATCCCCGCTCCAGTCCCCCCAAGACGACCCCTCTCCATCGTCGGCCATCCATGGCCCGGGAAACCCCCCAACTTCTGTAACTCGGCTACTGTATATGCCATGCCTTTTTACGCTCCAACTCACGGGCCACCGCTTCTCTCTCTTCCCTCAGTTTCCGTCTCCACTCTTCTGTCTCTCCCCAATACGAGGGACGAGGCTTGAGACCTAGCTGTCGTCTCTTTTCAGCTTCCTCGCGTGGTACCCGCACCTGCTCCCACTGGTGGGTCCACGGATCTTCCATCCAGATCCACTCCCAACCGCCCAGTATCTCTTCCCACTTCTCCCTTATATCTCCTACCGCCGCTTCGATCTCCTCTCCCTTTCTTCCCGCCAAAGTTCCCCTAGACCTAGGGGCAATATTTAACTCTTTCAAGGTTGATTCCAGGTCGCTAGTATCTACCCCTTTGTTCTTCTTAGGGGATTCTGAGGTTTCCTTCCCCCAATCAGGGGTCTCCACTCCTTTCTCTTCCCGACGCGGTGGTGTAGGAGGTGGAGATGTTTGAGTGTGTTGGGCCCTCGATGGGAGCGACGGCACTCCTACCAGGGCCTCCATCTTGGGGGCCTCACACCAAGCCAGGCTGGCAATACACTGACAAGCCGAGTCAGAATGATTTGGCTTTACTACTGTTTGATTCGCAGCCTAACTTCTGCTTCCATTTGCTTTTTGCAGTCCCCTGGTCTTCCTGGAGCAACACCAGAATGTCGGGTCTGTGCATGCTGCTTCTCAAACGCAGGCCTTTTGTAGCACATCCAAGTCTGTCCAACTCATCTAAGTATCTCAAGTATCAGATAAGTCTGTCCCTAAGGTCAAGCTTTGGAATGAGCTCTTGTGTTCCAAGGAAAATACCACAGATCTTGCTTTGAGATACACGAGAGGCCTCCAAACACACCATATACAGCTAGATAAGCATGTGATTCACAAATAGAAAGTAACTAGCATGCTCTACAGTATTTAACAGGTTTGACACCTTTCAGAATCTCTTATGTACATCAGTATTTCATGGCCCTTTTAGGAGCTCTTCTCAGGTTCCAGGGCCCCCAGGTCGAAGAAGGAGACAACAGGAACAGATGATTAGGAAAACAGAAAAGAATTAAATCTCCAGTCCTCTTCAAATGTGCCAGGGTCGTATGATCCCTGTTGAGAATGACTGTGCTAGGAATCCTGTACTGTATTATCATCTTATAAATGGAAGTTATCCTCTGAAGGTTTAACTAAGATGGTGGCTTTCAGTAAAAATATATAGATGATAATACATATACTGTATATATGTATATTAAATAGTTGCTGTGTCTCTTTTTTTCTTTGGCATCAAATTTGCTAGTTTGCGGGATCCAAAGAAAAAGTTATTTTTTTTAATCTCATACATGTGTGGGATAAAATATTCTCCCATTGGCTATCCCCGCTAAAAGAAAATGAAGTTTGCTTCCTCTCTTTGACTTGGGACATGTATTTACTAAGTAAATGATGCAAACGCATGTTTTTTAAAAAAAGTAATTTATTTGAGAACATGGGATGGAATTTTAAAAGCTGCATCCTTGATTTATACAAGCTTGCATGGTCCTAGGGCCCAGGGCTAAAGCGCTTCGCACGCTTACTTAATTTGCAGCAACGATCCTCAATAAATATGAGATTTACCTCCAAGTAAGCAGACACAGACAGGCGTGGAGTCCAAAAATCCAGTCCTGTGCATATCTAATTGGACATACGATATGTACAGCTCTCTAACTAGGCATGGATCGGATAACACGCTTCCTTGGAAATACTGTAAACCGTACTGCGAATCTCAGCGAACGTGGCCTGGTGGGTCCACTAAATCAGCCTCCCCATCTCCACCTCTACACCCCAATCATCAGCCCCGCTTCCCGTTTTCCTCCACGTCCGCCTCAGCCTTGCCAGACCCCCAGGAACCATGTGATCGTAAATGATAGAGATCCTGAGGAACTCTTTCCCCCTTCCTTGCCTCCGCCTCCCGTTCCCTCTTAGAAGATCTCTATGATCTGAGCGGCCGTGCGCGCTGGAGCTTGGCGTGGGGGGGGGGAGTGGCTCCATTCCCGGGGTGTTTCCCATCTCCTGGCTTCTACCGGGGTGTAGGGGAGGGCAAGCGAAGTGGCTGGGATGCCGTGAGAAGAAGGTGAGGAAAAGGATCGGGGGGGGGCTCCTCGCTCTTACGCCCTCCCCCCCTTCAGCAGTGCCAAGCATGAGGTTTTGGGGTAGGTAGGTGGGGTGGGAGGTGGGGGAAGTTTTACGGGGCAAACCCTACCCTTAGTTTTTGCAGACCATCAAGATCATGTCGATTGGAACCTATACGTTTAGAGTTCATATTTTTTTTTATTGGGATGTGACCTGTGCTTCGGAGTAAGCCCCCACAGGGCATGACGGGACCTTAAAGAGTAAACGTGCCAAGGATCGGGTTAAAAACATTTCTGCCTTCCGAGTGCACCCGATTTAGTTGTTTTCCTGCGGTGCCTCCTGATTTCATGTTGCAGGGGGTGATGGTGGTGGACGGTTGGATCCCCCCTCTTTTTAACGCGTTTCCCTTGTCGGTTTGGCGCTTTTGTGTCCCGGTCCCGCTTTGGGATGCGATCTGCAGAACACTTCCATTGATACACACCGTGTGGGGAATACAGTACAGGGTTAGGGTGCAGGCTTATGTAGGTGTACGCCTCTTGTCATCGGGCACGACACAGAGGAAATAAAAATCGCAATTTTCACTCTATGAAGCATCTCAGGAAAGTGTTAGTGGTTTGCCATTTTTAGAAGTGGTATGACTTCTCCTGGTGGAGGAGGTGATGGGGAGAAATGCAGTCAACCCAGGCAAAATGCAGACTTCATATATTGATTTCCCTTTAGGAGACTAAAGAAAGAAGGAGCTTAAAGATAGCCTAAGAGAAACTGTCAGTGAAATCTATTCAAGCTGCAAACTCAACACTTCAGGCTGGGGAAAAACTCCAGTTCCAGAAATGGGCATTTTGGGGCTCACCTACTAAGGGAATGGAGGAGGCGACACAAGCTTTACAGAAGAACTGCATTATCTCTGTTTTTGTCTCTTATGGAACTTTCAGACAAAGTGTTTACCTCTCGGGCACCTTGGCGCAAACTGAGAATTTTCTGTGGGGTGTGTAGGTCCAGATGTCCTCTTTCATTTGTAACCCTCACATGTGTGGCCGTGGTTTCTTCCATATTTTTTTTCTTTTCAAGATGAAAAGGTTATTAAGGAAGAAAAGAGGAATTAGTTGTCCTGCAGCACTTTTTGGTCTATTACACTAGAGACCTGCAAAGTGGAAGCATCTGTCCTTTCCGTTCACCTTGTTATGATTCAATTTACTGGATTTGCAATTAGGGTTATGAAAGAGTGGATTTCATCTTTTATATTTTTACAGTGCATGCCTATATGTGATTTTAATTTTTTAAATTATTATTCAAAAACACCAGGCACAGTCCCAGATGTCTAAACCATTCAGCTATCCAGTAGTTCATCTATACAGTAAGTATACAGATTATTATTATTATTATTATTATTCAGAAACGCCAGGCACAGTCAACATTATAAAAACATTGACTGGTATTATAGATGCAAGTTTTAACAAAAAAACTAAGTATTTGATAAATATCAGCGCAGTATGTATGCTGTTTCGAATACAGTATTGCTGTTTTTTGTAGCTCTGATGGTGTGTTTTCTGAGATCTGCCATGGCTTATAGTACTGTGTGAAGTTTCTTGATATTGTTCCCAAAGCCCCAGGGCCTACAGGGACCACTGAGTTGTTTTCCTTTCAGAGGCAAGATGTTTCTGTTGCCAGGTCTCTGTGCTTTGTTAGTTTTCCTTCTGACTTCTTTATTTTCAACTCTGGCATCCCCTGGAATTGCAATGTCAGTGATCCAGACATTTCTTCATTTTATTACAACTATGTCTGGTACGTTATGTTAAACGTGTCTATCTGTTTGGATCCGGAAATCGCACAAGATCTTGATTGCCTCATTTTCTGACATCTTCTCTACCTGATGTTCCTGTGGATTTTTGGAGGCTGGCAAGTTATATTTTTTTGCATAATGACCAGTGCACTAATTTTACTACTCTATCATGTCTCGTAACTTTGTAATCTGTACAATCCTTGGACATTCAGAGATGAGGAGTGACATAGTTTCATCTTTTTCTTGGCAGAGTCAAGTCCTTGGATCTTAGCTTTATTATTATTATTATTATTATTATTATTATTATTATTATTATTATTATT